TGTTCATGCAGTGAGCCTGTGTATGTACTGATACAGACATGCACCTGCCCAGTGTATGTACTGATACAGACCTGCACCTGCCCAGGGTATGTACTGATACAGACGTGCACCTGCCCAGGGTATGTACTGATACAGACGTGCACCTGCCCTGTGTATGTACTGATACAGACGTGCACCTGCCCAGTGTATGTACTGATACAGACGTGCACCTGTCCAGGTTCCTATTCTACAGGAGCGTTGGAAGGAAGCATGTCTCATGTTTTTCTCCTCCACACTTCACCGCTGAACTGATGATGATGATGATGATGATGATGATGATGCACACTGGTTTAAGTGAAGCTGTTTGGATGGAGCCTTCATCAAAGCTCCATCAGGCTCCTCTCTGGAGATGATGACAGGCCTGATCCTGTGACATCTCAGAGGCTCAGCAGGGCTGGACCGGGTCACTACTTGGATGGAGACCTCTGGGAAAATCAGGAGCCACAGGGGGGCACCAGTCGCAAAAACTGTTGTTGTGTCCTTAGGCAAAGCACTTCACCTATATTGCCTAGTATGAAAGTGGTGTGTGCATGAGTGATGGTGGTGGTCACATTGACCAATGGTGCAGATTTGCAGCCTCACTTCCCCAGGGCAGCTGTGACTACAATGAAGAATTAGTTGTAAAAGTGTCTTTGTGACATATGTCTGTGAAAAGCACTATATAAATAAAAACGTACTTATCAAACAGCAGAAGTTTGGAGGCCTTTTCACACATAATACATTTATTTGACAAATAAATGTGTCCTTTTTGAACAAGTAAAAGTACATTTTCATTCTAAGCTCTTCAGATGGAAAGAATTGAATCAAGGTGCTTAAAATAAGTGTTTAGTTTAGTTTAGTTGTTTGTTTATTTATCAGGGACAGTGCACATAAAAACATTGAGAGGTCAGATGTTTGTGCTAGGTTATAAGCAAAATTGTTCATTTCCACCTTCAGTCCCTGGACAGATGTCGACAGACAAAAAGAGAGCACGCCTCTCTGTTTTCCCTGTTTGAATAAAGATGAACAGTAGTCACTGTCTGTTACCTCTTTATAGACACATTCATTGACTATACCAGGACCGGAAAACACGTGACCTCCACCGAAGACGTCATCTCTACTTTTATGTAGACCTATGGGGAGACGAAACGATTTATTTTGACCGCAAATAAATATTTATTAAATAAGATTGTTTTTACGTTATGGAATTTGTTTGCACATATAAACATAGAGCAACATGTGAGTAACACTTTTAACTTTAGGAAATCATTACTAACACAACTGTAAATGTAAAATACAGCCATAACTCTCACAAAACTGTCAAATACGTTTATTTTAAACTGCGTGAACCTCGGAGATTTGAGCTAAAAGTGTGATTAGTCATCTGCAGCTAACGCGATGAAAAGTCCGCTCAAACTTTCATATTTGAACAGATTTCCATCAAACACTAATCATGTTTTTACTATTAGGGGTAAAGAAGCCCACGGAGTGATTTAATGAAGCTACGAGGAGAAAACGCTGCGTTTTCACGCACAGTGACTGCGTTAAACTTGTAAACACTTGACCAGTATAAGTGTAAGTGCGGTAAGATAAAAACACACATTATTTCATGCATTAAACATAAAGAAAAGAAGAAGAAAAAGACACAGTTTTTTATGTTTAATGCATAAAACATGTCAAAGCTCATATTTACTTGTAAATCACTTAACATAAACCTTCAACGTGTGCATTTCATTCTGGGAATACATGATCTGCTTTTAACAATCCGTGCATGTTTGTAAAGTGAAAAGTAAAGAATCCTGTCTGGACAGGTCAGATATAAGGTGGACATGAGGCTCATTGAACACATTTGTGCAGACACTGGTGTAGATACTAGACACACCTGTGTCTGTTTGGCCTGTCACATCTAATATCAGAACAGTAAGTAAACTGTTTGATATTCATGTTCTTTTCTCTTCTGCAGCTTCCTGTATGAGGAACACAACACACTGCTGGGGCCACAGAAATGTTGGCTGATGAGACGCTCATGATTCATGAAATGGGTCAAATGCAGATGACAAAGAAAAGCCAACACTGAGCTGGAGGTGCTGACCCAGACTCCTGCCTCTGTTTAGGTCTGGGACATGTTACATTGAAAACTCCAATAATAATAAGGACTGCAAATGAATCATGCTCATGTTGAAATCATTATTTAATTTGTGAAAATACACATACAAATACATGCTGTTTGGATTTATAGAATAGTTTTCTTAATGTGTGTGTCATTACAGGTTTTCAACTCTGCAGGTCAGAACTTTCAACCAGTCAGACGTAAGACCCATTCTGCTCTTCCTCCTCCAGAAGACGAGAGATTCATCAGACTGAGTGGCCTAGTACACTGGATCATGTCTCCACTGTCCATGTCCAGACTCACAGAGGAGGAGGAGGTCGTCCAGACTGCAGCAGACCTGTGGGGCCTCTGGTTGCATCAGGCCTCCCTCCTGCACATTCTGTTTGCTGCTGTTCCTAATGTGTCCTAATAGTGATGTGTCCATAAAGTTTAGGTTTAACGTCTAATTTCCTCCAGAAGTAAAACAGTAAAATTGTGGTTTCTGTTCGTCTTAGCTGAGGAGCACCTCAACAGCTTTATCACCGAGGAAGTGTCCCATGATAAATGTGGCCTTATATGATCTTAACAAATGTATGAGACAAAACTAGAGTCATATAAGTTGCTCATAATAAGTTTTTCTGAATGTTTTTCAGTCTGTACTGATGTTTGATTCATGATGAAATGTGCCATTTACTTGCTGTCTCTTTTGAAAGTAACTAATTACATGTACTATAAGAATGTACTATTGTACTGCAGTTAAGCAGTGGTATTCCACCTGATCATATTTTGCAGTATTTTTTTTTCTGCTTCAGCAAAATGGGAGCAACTCTTTGAGAGTACACTGACATACTGCTATTTGTACTCACCTATTAATGCAATATGTGTGTGTGTGTGTGTGTGTGTGTGTGTGTGTGTGTGTGTGTGTGTGTGTGTGTGTGCGTGCGTGCGTGCGTGCGTGCGTGTGTGTGTGTGTGTGTGTGTGTGTAATGGGTTTAATGTTTGACTATTAACATTATTATAAAGTATTTACAATCCTTTGATTGTTTAATAAACCATCTTTTCTCAAAGCAGAGATGTCTTTCTTCATAAACTCACTTAAATACATTCCTGGTATAAATGCAATCCTTTATCAATTTAAGAATACTTTATTAATAATTAATAATCTCATCAGTTTTTGAAACTTTAAGGTAATTTAGTCTATTTTAGATGTATCCCAGAAATATCACCGTTTTGTTTTGCAAAAGTTAAACATAAGTTTTCGTTTTTTGCCATAAGACGCCCTTGAACTGGACACGGCTAATATGACTAATACGAATAAAAAATAAAAAATAAAAGTTTATCGTAGATATGACGTGTATCCGGTGGAGGTCACGTGTTTCCGGTCTGGAGTGGAGCTTCACTTTCCCCTTGTCTGCTGCCAGACCCTCTCGACCTAGTAGTTTCAGAAAGTCCACACGCAGCTCTGCTGCCCCCTGCAGGAACTCCTCAGTGGCACACGTAAAACTTCTTATTCAGTTTTGCACTAATATAGACTTAATGCAAAACTGTAACAATTAAAAAAGACCAAAATACACTACGATATAAAATATCTAAAAGCAAGAAATAAATGAGAAGCCACAGTGCTAGACTCAGAGCCTGAACACACACTGAAAAGTGGTCAACATATTTACGCCTGAATATAAAGTCATATTAGCAGCCTACACATAAGTGTAGGCTTGTAAGAGTGTTTGTACCTATATATTTAATGTTTTGCAATGTCTGTATATTTAATATTGAATTTGTTTATTTGTAATTTGAATATCTGAGCCTTGTGCACAATACGCCAGCAGATGGTGCCAAAGTCATGTCGATTTGGGACCTGAATTTTTTCAGACCGAGCTGTAATCGTAGATGTGTGACTAACAGAAGGTCTACATGTAAAAAATAGTAATAAATAAATCGTAATAAAATTTAAAATAAAATAAAAGAAGTCGAAGAACAGGCGGAGATTAGGTCCAACAAATAAGACTTGAGAACATTTGAATAGTAGAGAAGTGCATTAGAATTGTTATTCAACTGTACGAAACCCACTTTTCGACCGATTCCTTCTCCAGCACTTTGTTTTTAGCTGAAATTTTATTGTATGATCATGGAGGAGGTGCTGAGGCCAGAGACTAGGGACGTTTTTATACATCTGACAAATGCTTTGTGATGCCTCACCACCCCAGCCCACCCAGAATGAACAATAATAAAGAATTTTTATTTCTTTATTCTTTATTTTCAAAACAAATACACCAAATATGAAAGTTAAAATAATAAACTGAAAAGGTTAATAAATAAATTATTATAAACAAAGATTAGTGCAATGTGTAAACACAGTATATACCCTTATAATTAATAAATTAAAATTTCAAATTTCTTTGGCAAATAATGTACATAAGTACAAATAATTGCACAATAGAATTTATTCAATCAAGGAACTTTAAATAAGAATGTGAAAGTGAAAATCTCTCTGCAAAGACTCTGTCTTCTGGTGTGGAGGTCTGGACACTGAGGGAGAGACAGAGAGATTTCATGGGATTCTGTTGGCCCTGGCACTGGCTTCTCTCCTCTCTCCATGCACTTTTTTGCACTGTTTCATAGTTTTGCAAGGGTTCACGAGCCAGATTTTTTGGTGGTGCCCCCGAAAGCACTTGGTGCCCTACATGCTGTGTGTAATGTGCGCAATGTGTGTGTGGAGCGACAGCACTGTCATAGGTCACACTCACAGACAGTAAAGCTTAGAGTGTGTGGAAGTATCCTCCTGTGTGCCACTCATAAACCTCTTTATGAGACTTTAACAGTTTAAACTTTAAACACGGACAATGCACTGATCCATTACACCTATGAAAGAACACACATGAGCTCAAGAGAACACATTTATTTACACATTTATTCAAATGTTACAGAGACCACCCAGACCACATCAGGGCTAGTGTGGGAGCCAATAAGGAAAATCAAATCAAATCAGACTTTTTCACAATTTACTTTTAAAAACAGTACATTTCATGTGAAGACATGTGTTATTGTGATTTAGAAACATTTATTTTTCTTACAATAATGCTTATTGCAATGATCAAATTTTGGCTGTGTACTGTGCAGCTTTAGTGCACATAAGGCACATTCTCACATGTCCACACTGTAAACACATTGTGTAGATTAGATATAGGCACTAGTATTATATGGAGGTGTTCAGAAATGTGCTGTTGCAAACAGTTTTATCAGTGTACATCACAAATCTTCTTAGACTCTTTTGCTCCTTCCACATGTAAACCAGAAGTTGTCATAATTCATGTCCCATTGTAATCCTCTGGGAGTCAAGATCATGAGTTTGATTTTATTTCCCTTTCATGTAATTTGTCACTTAAACTGTAAATGTTGTTTTGATTGGTTAAATCCACCTGTCACTCACTCTGTAGGACAGAGGCTAACCAATAGGAAGAGGGCGTGGAGCAAAAATGTATGAACTTCAGATGCACCGCTATATGAAAACAAATGTTCACAAGGACTCATGGATCTTCAATCCATGAAAGATTTTTATTAACTTTCAAATTTTGTTTACTTACATAAATGTACAAATATTTGTGAATATAAATTCATGTAATGTTTTAGAAGCATTTTATGTCTAAAAAATTGCTAAATTGCACATAAAATCTGAAAAAGACAATTTTACATTTCTTGGAATAAACCTTCATTCCATTGGTTTACTCTCAAAGCAACACAGTGTAACTTTGTGGAGGTGAAACAACATTTTCAAGGAAACAAGCAGAAGGCCCTCCCCCAGGTGAAGATAGTCAAGTTTGCAGGTCCTCTCATGGTAAGGACACATATTTTCATATTAAAACCATCATCTATTTGCTGCCCACTGCTGGAGACTCTGAAACCTTCCCATCAAATATCAGGACTGGAAAAGGTATATCCTGGAGTTTATGGGATTGGAACAAGGCGTCCTTAATCCAATATACAGCTGTCTGGAATGACACTAAAGGTTAATCTGGTCTGTGGTGGAAAATTAACTGAAAAGCACATGACCTAATGAGCCATGGAGGGAGGAGGAGGAAGGAGGAGGGAGGAGGAGGGAGCCACACAAACCCTTTTGCACATTGTTAATATCCAAATGCATTCTTTTGCATACTTGTAGAACAGCTTTTTCTAGACGGTGAAGTGAAACAGGGGTGGACCATCCAAGTGCAGCCAATCAGAGTGCTGCCTTCACTCTGACTTCTGCATTGATGAGAAATACATTTTGTTATTAGCTGTGGAGAGTGTACAGCGGGCTCATTTTGTCACAGTGATGCTTTTATGTGCTCTTTGATGGAAAACACTCACATTTACTCATTTTTACATTGTCAAAAGTATCAAAAATCTGATAATAATTTTGATACTAGTTTTAGTATCGATTAGTATCTAACTACCATCATTTGAGCAGGTATTAATACCAAAAACTCACATTCACAGAACAAAATTAACCTTTCCTGAATAAGGATTACACTGTTGAAACTCACATTATAATGTCTAAAGAAACAGTTTTTATGATCACTGTAGAATTGGAATATTATTAATCATGTATATTCCTTAGTATCGAAACTGAGGTTGAAATTTAAGTATCAATACACTAACTCATTTACAAAAAAGTAGATAACACAGCTTTAAATCCTGCTTAAAGGTTGTATGGAGGATTTTTTTTTGTTTGTTTTTGTTTCAAGTTGTCAATGATAGCATTATAGAGGTGCAGTAGCCTTGTAATTATGATGACCAAAAAAAAGAGAATAAAAATTCATCAACTCTGGACGTGGTGGGGCTAAACATTTGCCAATAGATAACGACACTGCCTCGTTATCTGTTAGCTGACAGGCTGTCAATCAATCTCCCTAAGTTTCTAGCGTAACTGACTTGCCTGCGCGCCGCCGGTACGTGGTTTACGTACGCCTGTCACGCAGACGCAAGCCGCACAGACGCTGTTTACTCCACCAACGCAACAGTTCTTAGCGGCTTTTTTTGACCTATATCTTCCTCGCAGTTAGCACAAAGTTTGTTGCAATGGCGACAAGAATCCAGGAGCAGTTAGCCGCAAAAGAAAGTCCGTTTTTGAGGTCGCTGAAAGAAGAAGACAAGGGGAAAAGCAGCGAAGCTAAACTAAGGTGATTCTTGAAGATTCATTCCAGCGATGGCGCGACTGAAGCAGACGCAGGGTCTAAAGACTGACGCATTGGTCGCCAAATTACTCCTGGACAGGTCACTTCTGCTTATTATGAAAACGTACTTTATTTCCAAGAGCTAGTCAAACGTTTTTCAGGACACGAAAGCGATATCCTATGTCTGAAAACGTAATTTTCAAGGCAAAGAAAGAGTCCGCTTGCTGCTGCGTGTTGTAGCTAGTTCATTCGCACGGAATCTCCGCGCAACCTTCTCTGCACCCCTTTCCTGTCCCCGCTGCCCGATCCGCTCTTTCCCCTGCTCCTCAGTTCTCCGGGCACGGAATCTCCGCGCACCGCTCCCCTCTCCTCTCTCCTCTCCTCTCTCCCTGCTCCGCTCTTCTCCCTGCTCCTCACTTCTCGTCCGTGAACGAAATGTCCGCGCACCCGCTCCCCCCGCTCCTCACTTCTCCACCTTGCCTAACCAACACTGTAGTTAGTTGTTTACAAGTCATGTGCAGCACCGGCTGTAAACAAACCTGTTTCTGGCGTAAAGAGGAGGCGGGAGAAGGCGTTTCTACGTAGGGAGCTGTAGGGGAGGGGGGGGTGGTTTCACGCATGCGCAACATTTGAAAAAGGACAAACAGTCGCTGGATTTCTCGTTCCTTGGAAAATCCTCTATACAACCTTTAAGTACAAATGCTTGTGCTTGGACAAGTGACACAGTTCTCTCTTGTGAAACAGTCCAACATGTTGCTCACAGTGTGAGTTAGGGCCACAGTGGAAGCAGCAGCCCCAGCAGAGCGGCGCTCAAGAGCAGCCTCCAGCCATATGAGCCCGTCCCTGCCCCACTCAGCAGGTACTCCACCCGGGACCACGAGCCGTTGTTGGGGAGCGGCTCCACCCCCAGAGTCCGGCACATGACGTTGTACACATCCACAGAGCGTATGGGAGCTGCACGCACGTTCACTTTGAAATCTACACACACCCAAAGAGTAGAGTGAAGTAAAGGTCCGCAAATGTTAAAGGCTCCATTATTGTAAGCTCTTGTGAAATGTGCTGTCACTAAAACAAAGGACATTGCAACATGCGCATTGTTTTCAATTAGATGATGGACCTAGAAGTGACATCACATCTCCAGACCTGGTTTAGTCAGGATTATCATAGATGACTGGAATGCGCCATGATCTCAGAATTTCTAGTCAACATGTCTGCTCCCTGCATTTGGATAGCTTTAGACGGTTCAGATATTGAGCACACTTGGGTTAGTTTGTTTTTAGTTGTTCCTCTTGTCCACCCACTTCTGTGAGCTTGTGAGCTCAGCCCATGAGCTTCCGCAGTAACACATGTGCTGTTATGCCAGTGTTGATAATGTTGCTCATGTGTACACCGGGGTCTCCTCCCCCTTCCAAGTAGCTCCCCGAGGGATTTCTGAATATGTATTACTGTATTTTCCGCACTATAGGGCGCACTTAAAAGCCTTTAATTTCATCCAAAAACAAGTGCGCGGATTATAAGCCTCTCCACTTGCAGCATTACGGCTCCCGTAGTCAGGAGCATCAGGAGTAATACATACTGTGATTCCTTTGAATATCAAAATGCACCTGTCAAGAGACTCGCTCACAACGCCCACTTTAAACTCAAGGCTGTTCTAAAGTGAAAGTGCGAGCTGCGTGGGAGCAGTGGATGAGAGAAGGAGAACACACATTCACCAAGACAGAGAGACAGCGCCGAGCCACTTATGCCACGATCTGCCAATGGATCGTGGACGCCCGGGCTAAAAATCAGTATCAATTGTGGTCTGAGCTTTCACCAAGACCAGAATCATCACTGAACTGCCAGGAAACAGTAACCACACTGACTCGGATAATGACGAGAGGGATGTGGACGTGTCGAATCACCCAACTGTTTCAACTATTATGATTTATTGTGAAAACTCTAACAATTTAGCATCTCAAGCAGTATTTTTTTACACGTTACAAATGAACAAAGTTGAGAGTTATTGTGAACGCGTTAAATAAAGTCTGACTGACTTATCTAACTGTTGTGTTTCGTTTAATGCGCCTTATAATCCGGTGAGGTTTATATGTGAAAAAAGTTCAAAAATAGCCCATTCAATGACTTATAATTCAGAGCGCTTTAAAGTGCAGAAAATACGGTATTCTGAATAACTCAAAATGGATTGTTTGACTATTACTGTTGTAAATAATTATGATGCTTAACTCTGTGAACTAATACATGGATAATGGTGTTTGTTTTGTAGCTGTTTTCTAGCCCATCTAAGGCTTGCCGTCTTTCTTGTATCAACTTAATTTCCTGCAAGTGCTAAAATGAGGAGCTCTCTGCCATTTAGGTTTTATAAAAGTATCTCCCCAGTTGAAAAAAGTTGGAGAGCAGTGGTGTACATGGAGTTAACGTCAACAAAAGCTGCTCTATAAACTGTTAATGTAGTAACAATGTCGAATTGTTACTACTCTCACTTTGGTTCCCATGTCGGCCGATTTGAGCAGTTCCCTAGTATTTGTTACTTTTTATCATTTTTTTGCTGTAATAATCTGGTCATTGTATTTTTTTTTTTTTTTTGACATGTGGAATTTGATCCCATGAATGGATTAGTGCTACTGCTGTATCTGCTCTAAAGTACACATCAGAGAGAGTACTACTGCTGTACCTGCTCTAAAATACACATCAGAGAGAGTACTACTGCTGTATCTGCTTTAAAATACACATCAGAGAGAGCACTACTGCTGTATCTGTTCTAAAGTACACATGATCAGAGAGAGTACTACTGCTGTATCTGTTCTAAAGTACACATCAGAGAGAGTACTACTGCTGAATCTGTTCTAAAGTACACATCAGAGAGAGTACTACTGCTGTATCTGTTCTAAAGTACACATGATCAGAGAGAGTACTACTGCTGTATCTGCTCTAAAGTACACATGATCAGAGAGAGTACTACTGCTGTATCTGCTCTAAAGTACACATGATCAGACAGAGTACTACTGCTGTATCTGCTCTAAAGTACACATGATCAGACAGAGTACTACTGCTGTATCTGCTCTAAAGTACACATCAGAGAGAGTACTACTGCTGTATCTGTTCTAAAGTACACATGATCAGACAGAGTACTACTGCTGTATCTGCTCTAAAGTACACATCAGAGAGAGTACTACTGCTGAATCTGTTCTAAAGTACACATGATCAGAGAGAGTACTACTGCTGTATCTGTTCTAAAGTACACATGATCAGAGAGAGTACTACTGCTGTATCTGTTCTAAAGTACACATAATTAGAGAGACTTTTACCAGGGCCTGCTGCCAGGAAGAAGCCCCTCATGTCCAGGTACTCGTTGTCGTATCCATGCCAGCCGTTCTGCCAGCCGCGTGCAGGTCCCGAGCTCTCGTTCTTCCAGTACGGCAGCTTACTCTTGTTCTAGCACACAGTCACAGTACGCTCACTCATGTGCCTCTGCCCCTGCTCCCCTTTCACACACTACGTTCACGTGCACAGCGTGAAAACCAGACAACCGGCCTATTCCAATTTAACACGACTGATCAAACTGCACGGTTCAAATCTCCCACATCCCAAATCTAGACGCCGGTGTTCTGTCGAAATGAGCTCTCACAGCCTAAATCAACAGTGACCTCAATCGATTCATGCTGCCCCATTGAAATAAGATACTTTACGGGTTTTTTTTAGGTACAGTTATACAGATCCAATAAAGCCTGACCATAACCTCCCCAGTTTTATAACAATTTTCTTTGGATTAGAGACAGCCGTAACACAGGTGCTGTTTGCACACAGTGATCACACTTTATACCTTAGTTATGTACAATTTCAACTCATTTATAGGAATCTGTGTACAGTATTTTCCGCACTATAGGGCGCACTTAAAAGCCTTTAATTTCATCCAAAAACAAGTGCGCGCCTTATAATTCAGAGCACCTTATATATGAATTTACTGGGGTGTCTTAGTACGACTTTAGTAAAGTACAAAGCCGCTCCACTTGCAGCATTACAGATCCCATGGTCAGGAGCATCAGGAGTAATACATACTGTGATTCCTTTTAATATCAAAATGCACCTGTCAAGAGACTCGCTCACAACACCCACTATAAACTCAAGGCGTTTATAAAGTGAAAGTGTGAGCTGTGTGGGAGCAGTGGATGAGAGAAGGAGAACACACATTCACCAAGACAGAGAGACAGCGCCGAGCGGCTTACGCCATGATCTGCCAATGGATCGTGGACGCCTGGGCTAAGGATCAGTATCAACTGTGGTCCGAGCTTTCACCAAGACCAGAATCATCACTGAACTGCCAGGGAACAGTAACCACACTGACTCGGATAATGACGAGAGGAATGTGGGCGTGTGGAATCACCCAACTGTTTCAACTATTATGATTTATTGTGAAAACGCTAACAATTTAGCGTCTCAGGCAGTATTTTTTTACACGTTACAATTGAGTTGAGTTGAGAGTTATTGTGAACGTGTTAAATAAAGTTTGACTGACTTATCTAACTGTTGTGTTTGGTTTAATGTGCTTTATAGTCCGATGCAGTTTATATGTGAAAAAAGTTCAAAAATAGGCCATTCAATGACGCGTGCGCCTTATAATCCAGAGTGCCCTGTAGTGTGGAAAATACGGTAGTTCACTTGGACAGTCATATTATGCTCAAATAGGCTTTGACTAAAGCACATATCCACAGGAAAATTTAACTATCGAATAATACTCCCACTGTAGAATCAGCATTATTCGTTCATTCACTCATTTAGATGAATTTGGGCAGAGATAGCTCACTATATAAGAGAAAGAAATGACTGGAAACACTGAAATCTTTATATTAAATAGCATTAAATATATCATATTTAACACTAATATCATAGGCTACAGTGTGAATTTCGTATTATAATGTAGTGATGTTTTATTTATACAGCACCTCTCTAAAGAAAGTTACCTTTTCTACAGATGGAAACAAAATAAAATACGATGTAATGAAAATGAACTAAATCCAAACTTTTCAATCATCTTCTGCTCCAAATCATGCAAACACACATGTCATTGCTTAACTGGTCAAAACACACAATAAAACCAATACACTTCTAAAATGTGACTTGTTAATCCACTGCTGTCTCACAAGCTCAAATCGACGGCATTTAAACTAACAGCGCTTGGGGGTACAGCACATGCACAGTTTTGCTAGGGAGCTCAAACCGACAGAACACCAGAATGTACTCAGATAAATAATAAATGTAACAGCGCCGTCCGATTACATTAGGAGCAGACAAGGAGAAGGGCTTAACTGCATAAGGTAAGAAACAGCCAGAGAAATGTTAAATGCTTAAAATGTCTGGACGTGGACTCTGGTGAAAAATTAGACAGCTATGTTAAAGTGAAAGTAAAAACTGCTGGAGCTTCAGTGTTCTTATTTGTGTGACTAGGCATTAAGGCTGTGCAATTGCAACCCCAGTTCCAATGAAGTTGGGACGCTGTGTAAAACTAAAAAAAATACAGAATACAATGATGTGCAAATCCTTTTCAACCTATACTGAACTAAATAAACTACAAACACATGATATTTAATGTTCAAACTGATCAACTTTATTGTTTTATGCAAATATTCACTCATTTTCATTTTGATGCCTGCAACACGTTTCAGTAAAGCTGGGACAGGAGCATGTTTACCACTGTGTTACATCACCTTTCCTTTTAACAACAGTCAATAAGTGTTTGGGAACTGAAGACACTAATTGTTGAAGCTTTGCAGGAGGAATCCTTTCCCATTCTTGCTGAATGTATAACTTCAGTTACTCAACATTCGTATTTTGCGCTTCATAATGCGCCACACATTTTCAGTGGGAGGCAGGTGTGGACTGCAGACAGGCCGGTCTAGTACCCACACTCTTTTACTACAAAGCCACGCTGTTGTAACACGTGCAGGATGTGGCTTGGCATTGTCTTGCTGAAATAAGCAGGGACGTCCCTGAAAAAGATGTGGCTTTGATGGCAGCGTATGTTGCTCCAAAATCTGTATGTACCTTTCAGCATAAATGGTGCTTCACAGATGTGCAAGTGACCCCTGCCATGGGCACGAACACCCCCAGACCGTCACAGACGCTGGCTTTTGAACTTTCCGCGGAGAACAATCCGCATGGTCCATTTCCTCTTTGGCCCGCAGGACACGACGTCCATGATTTCCAAAAACAATTTGAAATGTGGACTCATCAGACCACAGCACATTTTTCCATTTTGCATCAGTCTATCTCAGGCGAGCTCGTGCCCACAGAAGCCGGCGGCGTTTCTGGGCGTTATTGATATATGGTTTTCGCTTTGCGTGGTACAGTTTTAATTTGCACTTGGAGATGTAGTGATGAACTGTGTTAACTGACAGTGGTTTCCTGAAGTGTTCCTGAGCCCATGTGGTAATATCCTTCACACATTCATGTCGGTTTTTAATACAGTACTGCCTGAGGGGTCGAAGGTCACGGGCATTCAGTGTTGGTTCCTTGCTGCCTACGTGCAGAGATTTCTCCAGATTCTCTGAATCTTTTGTTGATATTATGGACCGTAGTTGATGAAATTCCTAAATTCCTTGCAATTGTATGTTGAGAAATGTGTTAAGCTGTTGGACTATTTGCTCACGCAGTTGTTCACAAAGTGGTGAACCTCGCCCCATCCTCACTGGTGAATAACTGAGCTCTTCAGGGAAACTCCTTTTATACCCAATCATGACACTCACCTGTTTCCAATAACCTGTTCACCTGTGGAATGTTCCAAACAGGTGGATTTGAAGCATTCCTCAACTTTCCCATTCTTTTATTGCCCCTGTCCCAGCTTTACTGGAACATGTTGCAGGCATCAAATTGAATATTGTTTTTATGCAAATATTCACTAATTAAGTTTATCAGTTTGAACATTAAATATCATGTCTCTGTAGTTCAATATAGGTTAAAAAGGACTTGCAAATCATGATAGTCTGTTGTTTTTTTTTTAGTTTTACACAGTGTCCTAACTTCATTGGAATTGTTGTAATTGAATGCTGATCAGGATTTCGATTTGTGTGTGAAACGATCTCCAAACTCATATACTCAAGTTGAAGCGAGTAAAGCTTAACAAGGTTTATTTTGGGATAAATTTAATTAATTTCATAATCAAGCAGCCCTACTAGGCATTTGATTTTTATTTGCAATTATTGCTGCTTACTAGACCCCCCTGAATGCCTCGTAGCCCCCGTTTGCACCTATGATGTTCGTTTGATGTGCAGGAAACTGGGACAGGAGTGGTCTGACAGGTTTGGGGTGAAGGGGTAAATTTGATTCTGAGTTTTCTGTGCACGTAACCATAGTGACTGTAAACATGGAGCCTGCACTTACCTGGACGATGAACCAGCCCGGCTCGGCCACCAGCGTCAGCGGGGACACAAACCGGCCCCTGCTGTAGTGGAAGCGCTCCGGGACGTCTGACTTAAGGTACACCCGCATGTTAGGGACTGTCCCCAGAGCAGCACGCACCTGAGGACAGCAGGGGACAGAGGACGTGAGGACATGTAGCAGAGGATGTCTTTTTATTATATACAACTCACTGGTAATGCCCTACATAACCTGCTGTACTGACATTTGGGCCAATACATATAAGACTAATATTAATCCAATCTTTACCTGCAAAAAAAGCAATAAAACAAACATGTTCAAAACAAACAATCTCTTGTCAAAATCATTACAGAATATGTTCAAAATCCAAAATAGACAATATGAACTCAGAGGTACGACCACGTTTATCAAAAAGAAAATCACAACATTATGAAATGTTGTATATCTGTTAAAGGGCTGGAGCTCTGGAACAAGTGTACAGGAAACCTAAAATTGTGCACCACTCTCTTCCAGTTTATAAAGAAGTTGTGAAATGTTTACCTCTGTGCAGATACATGAATTCTGAGACTTAGTTTGTGCTGTAGTACTTTGTTGTACCGTTACTGATTTGTTTGTTTCCTGTCACCGTATTGATGAAGATGAACTGGTGTCAAGATGATGCTCTGACAAAGGAATAAATGATAAAGGCAGAATAAACTCAAGATTCAGCCTCCACCTTTTCGGTCAGTGTATGTTAAATATGAATAATATATAAATAATAATAATATAAGTAATGTCAGTATATACTGGTGACCGAAATAAATTAATCAATCAACCAATCAATCTCAGTAATAAGGAATAGACTTGATACTCAATACTGATTCTGATTCTGCAATGATCAGTGTTGGGAGTGTTACTTTTAAAATGTATTCCCCTACAGATTACAGATTACATACCCCAAAATGTAGTTTGTAACATAATCCATTACATTACTTAAAGTGAGTAACGTAATCTGAATACTTTGGATTACTTGATATTGTCATGTTTTTTAAAACTACAAGAATGTAACAACTACATCCTGAAAATTCATGTTTGTTCTCTTCAAATTGTCTGTTGAGCCCAAGTCTCCATGAACAAACTTTTGTTTACTGTAAAGTAGCAAAGACTAGAATCTTAACATAAGAAGTTTTATCTGCTAAAAGAAAAGAAAAAGTCCAGACTTTCCTTAACCAGATTAAAAATATTAATGATAGAGAAACAATTTTTATATGAGATCGCTGCTGCCTTCAATTATGTCCACACTACTGTTAGTGTCATAATGTTTAAAACTGGTTTAGTCCTGGTTTAGTCCTGGTTTAGACCTGGTTTAGACCTGGTTTAGACCTGGTTTAGCCCAAAATGTGAAAACAGGAAAATAACACCATGTAATCCATTTATTTCAACAAAGTAACTGTAATCCAATTACCACTCATTGAAACAGTAACTGTAACTGAATACAGTTACTCATAATTTGTACTCTGATTACGTAGCACCAGTACATGTAATCCACTATTCCCCAACACTGGCAATGATAATAAAAACACTCTTTCCACATTAAATGGTACTATTTTCTTTTCCATTCCCATGTGTGTTATATGTATGTGATCCTCAGTGGTGCAGGTAGTTTCCATAGTGCTCCATGACTGTATACTAGTTATGTGCTTTTACATTTGTTCTGAAACATCTCAACATCATTCTAAAGCTATACATGCATCACGAATTTCGGACTTCCAGTCATTTTGCAATGCATACTGGGAAGGATTTCCCAGCATGCACTGTGAAATTTTCTGAAAAAGTGAGCATCAAACCACCCTGGATGTATGGCAGATGTCCTAACAGCGGAAAACGGCTCAAGAAATTTGTTCGTGAACTCCATAAAGGCAAGGCAAGGCAAGTTTATTTGTATAGCACAATTCGTACACAAAGTAATTCAAAGTGCTTTACAGAATAAGAAATACATTAAAATCATAATAAAAACAAATCAATAAAATTAAAAAAGAGAGACATAAATTGGAGAGAAGAGTGCGGAATGAAAACCTTTCAGTTATTTGCACAGTTAAACAGAAATGTTTTGAGCCTGGATTTAAACAGCGTCACAGAAGAGTCTGTCTCACATGTTCAGACTGTTCCAGGTTTTAGCTGCATGAACCCTTCATATGACACTAACATGTCACAGATGGACTTTGGTGCTCGTCCATGGAGACACTTGTACAAGCAGAGCTGCTTTAAAGTCTCTGAGCCACAGGAGCCAGTGCAGAGACCTGAGCACAGGACTTATGTGCTCGTACTTCCTAGTTCGAGTCAGGACCCGAGCTGCAGCGTTCTGGATGTTCTGGATGTTCTGCAGCGTCTCACAGCTCGTTTGGAGAGACCAGTGAGCAGAACATTACAGTATCTAATCTACTGGAGACAAACGCATGGATAAGTTTCTCCAAGTCTGCTTTAGACAGTAAACCTTTGATTTTTGCTATGTTTTTTAGATGGTAAAAGGTTGCAGATGTTATTGATTTGATGTGGCTGTTAAAGTTCAAGTCTGAGTCCATTATTACCCTGAGATTTCTTGCCTGATTTGAAGGTTTTAGAGAGAGAGACTGGAGGTGACTGCTGAAATGCAAAAGTGAATCAGATGTGTGTGACTGCACACCTCTGTTCAAACTGTTTCCTTTCACAACAGAATTGAAAAATAGTGAAAGGTGAAGGCTGTTACAGAATTTTTTGGGTCATGAGACATTAAGTCATTTAAAGTGTTAATCTATGTTTAATCATTGCACAATATAAGATTATCAGAATTGCTTTGTGCTCTGTTCAAAACTATGTAACCACAGAAACATCAGCTGAGCTGCTGACGCACCAGCTGACCCATTTAAGATAACATGATAGAAAATCTGCAAATGACTGTATATAAATTGGTGACACAGGATAAATTGGGCTAAGAAGAGACACACCGTGATATGACGTATGTAATCAGATGCATTGTCAGCTGTAGTCCATTAGTCAAAGATAACAACTGTAAAATATGTTGTATAATCATGTCAAGGTTATTGTGTGATGCTTCAATAAAAGAGCTGTGAGGAGGACGAAAGCCAGTGTCAGGTTCAGTCAGTCAGCTCTCGCACTCCTTGCTGCAAGTAAAACCAACTACTGTGTCGTCTCTGGCTTGTTATTTACTGAATGAGTCTTTGGGTAAATTCCCTGACAAAGGAGATGGGCAGGATTGATCCACAGGAAGGACCAAAAAGGAAACCTTTGGCTGCCTAAATCATCCCGAGTTTGCAGAGAAGATTTTGCATGTGGAGCGCCAGCAAAGCAAAATCCCGATCCCTCACTCAACCTCGCTAAAAAGTCAATGCCAAAGTGAAAGGCTCCAGCTGTTCACCAAGAAACACCTTCCACTGCAAAGAGACCAAGACGTGATGTTGCTGTAAAACCACAAGAACAAGAAAGTGCAGCTCAGTCTGTTTGTCTTCTGCACCTGTCACTTCTCATACAAAATGTTCTCTGCAAACTCAGGATGATTTAGTCAAAGGTTACTTTTTTCATCTTTCCTGTGGATCAGTCCTGCCCATCACCTTCACCTTTCATTATTTTTCAATTCCGTTGTGAAGGGAAACAGTTTGAACAGAGGTTTGCAGTCACACACATCTGGTTCCCTTTTTGCACTTATGAAGTTCGCAAACTTCTGAAGCCTATTTCTCAAACTGTTTTCCAACAACCACACAATTACAATATCCGAATCTCAAAACTAAAATATGACAATATCAGAACCAAAAACAAAAGTGATATGGTTCAAAAGACTAGAAAAGACTTTGTCAATAGACACATCCCACTGGGAAAACAAACATGGCGGTTTGATGCTCACTTTTTCGGAAAATCCTTCCCAGTATGCACTGCGCAATGACTGGAAGTCCGAAATTCGTGATGCATGTATTCAGGAAAGGTTCATTTCCGTCCTGTCAATGGGACTTCTGTAGTTTTAATACCTGCTCAAATGAGTATCTAGTTTTAGTACGAATTAGTATCTGATAAGGACACAGCAGAAGACATGAGGACAGTGCTGACCTGATCCTGTTTGTCCTTCTTGGGCCAGAGGCTGACCACAGGACCGCGGTCCATGATCTTGGTGATGTCCGCCATGTTGATGTACATGTCCAGCTCAATGACTTTGTCCATCCATTGGATCCCGGTCATGCCGTGGTCAGAGAACATCACCACGTTTAACTTGTCCTCCAGGCCCTTCTCCTGACAATGGAGGATAGGACAGGACACAGGTCAGAGGACAGTACAGAGGACAGGTCAGAGGACAGGACAGAGGACATAGGGCAGGGGATGGGTCAGAGGACAGGTCAAGGTACAGGAGTCCTGTCCCCTGTCCTGTCCCCTGTCCTCTGACCTGTTCCGTGTCCTATGTCCTCTGTCCTGTCTTCTGACCTGTCCCCTGTCTTCTACCCTGTCCCCTGTCTTCTGCCCTGTCCCCTGTCTTCTACCCTGTCCCCTGTCTTCTGCCCTGTCCAGAGGACAGTGGACAGGTCAGAGGACAGGACAGAGGACATAGGACACAGAACAGGTCAGAGGACAGGGGACAGGACAGAGGACAGGGGACAGGTCAGAAGACAGGACAGAGGACATAGGACACAGAACAGGTCAGAGGACAGGGGACAGGACAGAGGACAGGGGACAGGTCAGAGGGCAGGACAGACAAGAGGACAGAAGACATAGGACAGGGGATAGGTCTGAGGACAGGACAGAGAACAGGTCAGAGGGCAGGACAGAGGACATAGGACAGGGGACCAGGGGACAGGACAGAGGACATAGGACAGGGGATGGGTCAGAGGACAGGTCAAGATACAGAACAGAGGACAGGGGAGGACAAGAAGGTCAGGGACAGGACAGACAGGACAGGACAGGTCAGAGGACAGGACAGGACAGGACAGGGGTCAGGGGTCAGAGACAGAGGACAGAGGACAGGGGAGCAGAAGGGGGCAGAAGACAAGGGACAGGTCAGAGGACAGGACAGAGGACACAGGACAGGGGATAGGTCTGAGGACAGGACAGAGAACAGGTCAGAGGACAGGGGAGAGGACAGGGGACAGGACAGGACAGAGGACAGGACAGAGGACAGGACACAGGACAGGACAGAGGACAGGAAAGAGGATAGGTGAAGGGATGAGACAGAGGACAGGTCAAAGGACACGGGACGAGACAGAGGACAGGTCAAAGGACACAGGACAGGAAGGTGGACAGGTCAGAGGATAACTCAAAGGACAGGACAGGACAGGACAAAAGACAGGGGGCATGTCAGAGGACAGGTCAGGGGACAAGACAGGGGACAGGTCAAAGGACATAGGACAGGACAGAAGACAGCGGTCAGGACATTGGGACTGACCGTGATGCTGTGGCTGAGTGCCTGCATGGCCGTGTCCAGCTCCTGGAGGGCACTCTTGACCTCAGGTGAGTTGGGCCCAAAGTGATGACCCTCCACGTCCATCTTCTCATAGTACACAGCCCCCATGTGAGCCTTCCCCGACCTGAGCACAGGGAGACAGGAGAGAACAGGGAACACAGCACAGACGGGGGGCTGAGAGAGACGGGGAAAAGAGAGACAGAGGGGAGACACGTCGGAGACAAGGGGAGACGCAGCAGAGACGGGGGACAGGGGGAGACAGCTCAGAATGCAGGGGGTGTTGTACCTGATGGCGTTTAGAGCGTCCTCTATGGCACTGGTCAAGTTCTGGATGGACGGGCTGGAGATGTACTCCTCACACAGGGTCGGCCTCACTCCCAGGATCTCCACCTCACAGCCTGAGCAACGCACGGACACATGAACACACGAACACACAAACACACAAACACATGAACACACAAACACATGAACACACAAACACATGAACACACAAACACACAAACGATATCGTCACAGTATTAACCTCACAGTCTGATATTTTTTGCAGTATCATGGGAAAGCTCACGATATGGAGGGGAGGCTCACGATAAGAGATGTGATAAAATCCAAATCTCTCGGTACGATATTTTCACGATATACATCTCACGGTACAACATGTATTGCGATATTTTGTGGAGGCTAACAAAACTGTTAATATGCTACATTTTCTTCTTAAAATGCATTGACAAGACTTAATCCAAAAAACTAAGACTTAAAAGTGCTTAAACCTGTTATTTCTTCATGTAGTCTGCACTGAAATGGAGCAAAGGATCATGGTCTATGAAGTTCCCTCTGTGTTTTTTAGCTGCTGCTGCACCATAAAACTCTTCATTTAAGAAAAGAGACTTGTAATTTGGTATATTGTGATGGTTCACGATATTGTGAGAACTTTGATGATATAATATCACAATATTTTGCTTATTGTTACATCCCTAGAACACACAAACACACGAACACATGAACACACGAACACACGAACACATGAACACACGAACACATGAACACATGAACACACGAACACGGCTTTTGGGACTAGGATTGTCAAAAGTATCCAAAATCTGAGAGACACTCCAATGATTGACACTAGATAATCATTTGAGCACATAGATTATTATACGCCCATGAAGCACTATGGAACCTTCCTGCGTCACTGAGGATCACACACATAGAAGAGCAGATTGTAAAATACAATCAAATACTACAATTTAATGTTGAAAATCACATTCTGTTGTCATTGTATTGTGGAATGTTAATCAGTACTGAGTATCAAGTCTATTTCCTAGTATCAAAATTGAGTTTGACATTTTTTGACACTATCAGGAGATTTTCTTAAACTTGCTTAAACTCACACTGTGTGTGTGTGCGTGTGTGTGAGCGTGTGTGAGCGTGTGTGTGCACGTGTGTGCTGACCAGGCCAGTAGTACATGTAGACCCTCCGGCCGCTCTTCTGAGCCGTCACCCACAGTGGCTCGGCTCCGTCCCACCACAGAGGCAGCCTGCTGTCCACATTGGTCCCGATCAGGAACTCCTTCCCCGAGGCTTCGTCCCACATGTAGTTCCCCGTCATGTGGTGGGCATCGCAGTGTCGGCCTGAAGACAAGAGTGTGGAGGAAACATTTCATCAAAACAACAAGAGCTGTAATGAGGGAAGTGCAGACAAGGCCCCCCCGGGGGGGGGGTGTCCAGTGCCCACGGTCCTGTGCCTGACTACCCCGCACACGTCAGTTTGCCCGCGCTATGAAGCAGCACGTCTTGCGCGAGCAGATTTCAGAAAACAGAATCCAACCTATTTTTAAACACTCCGTGTCCCGTTCAGAAAACGTAGAAAGCATGCATCTGTTGTTGTATTTGTGGCCAGAGCATGGCCACGCTGGATGTTGCAGACTGGTTGGTTGTTGTAATCTGCTCAATAAGCACAAGAGTATAGTAAAGGACGACATGACTATACTCATGTTTCAAACAGACAGAAGGGAAAATGGGATTATTGGGATATAATTCAAAACAATTTAACAATTTAACAATACTTTTCACACACGATGATTTTAGATTTGAGTGGGCATCTACTGCTTGCCTTGATTATCCTGACCGCATTCCATTGCTGGACAGTGGACAAAGTCTGATAGTGGAAACAGTCTGGACGTAGAGTGGACATAGTCTGGACACTGGACACAGTCTGGACAGTGGACACAGAGGACGATCTGAACTGTGTTTGTGTTAGGGCTTTCCTGGACACAGCTCTGAGGGGGTCATTTGGCTCTGGGCCTAGTGTGAATGTGCTGTGAGTGTCAGTGGTCTGAGGGGTGACCACCAATGAGAACGGAGTGAATTAAGAATGTAAGAAAAATTGAAAAGCAACATTAGGCGTACAGAAACATCTAATGTAGTAAAAATACATACAATCCAGTGCAATATGTATGAAAAAGAAAACTATGTTGTTGTAAATAAAAGTGAAGAAATGAAATGCTGAATGTTGAAATGTTGATATTGTTAATGTATTTTTATACTATATGAATGAAATTTAAAAAAAAATACAAATAAAAATAAATAAATAAAAATATGCTGTACAGCTAAATCTTTAGCTCTGCTTGGTCAGTCTGCAATTAAAATGTTATTTAAATAAATTCCCACAGACGTGCTATTTCTAGACACATCACTTAAATTAATTAAATAAAAAATAAAATAAAATATACAAGTACAAAGAAATACCAAAGTCTGACCTGGCCTTCTTGGCCATAGCCTGCGTTCCTCTGGGTCCAGTGTAGGCCTGCTGCCTGTGCATCCCCCCACTGTCCAGTACTCCCCTCATTAGTGACGTCATGATGACCTGTGTACAGCTGCCTCTGTACCTGTCTGTAGAAAACTCTCTTCTGCTTTGCAAAGAATAAACCACACAAAGACAAGTGTTTCACTCAAGACTTCATATTTTGATCTTCCACAAATATTTTCACAACACTGGTGAGCACATGTAGGCTCATGTAGACTCATGTAGGCTCGTGTAGGCTCATGTAGACTCGTGTAGGCTCATGTAGACTCGTGTAGGCTCATGTAGACTCATGTAGGCTCGTGTAGGCTCATGTAGACTCGTGTAGGCTCATGTAGACTCATGTAGGCTCGTGTAGGTTCGTGTAGACTCGTGTAGGCTCGTGTAGACTCGTGTAGGCTCGTGTAGGCTCGTGTAGGCTCGTGTAGACTCGTGTAGACTCGTGTAGGCTCGTGTAGGCTCGTGTAGGCTCGTGTAGACTCGTGTAGGCTCGTGTAGACTCGTGTAGACTCGTGTAGGCTCGTGTAGACTCGTGTAGACTCGTGTAGGCTCGTGTAGACTCGTGTAGGCTCGTGTAGACTCGTGTAGGCTCGTGTAGGCTCGTGTAGACTCGTGTAGACTCATGTAGACTCATGTAGACTCGTGTAGACTCGTGTAGGCTCGTGTAGACTCGTGTAGACTCATGTAGGCTCGTGTAGACTCATGTAGGCTCGTGTAGACTCATGTAGACTCATGTAGACTCATGTAGGCTCCTGTAGGCTCGTGTAGACTCATGAAGACTCATGTAGATTTGTGTAGACTCATGTAGGCTCATGTAGGCTCATGTAGACTCATGTAGACTCGTGTAGACTCATGAAGACTCATGTAGATTCGTGTAGACTCATGTAGGCTCATGTAGGCTCGTGTAGACTCATGTAGGCTCATGTAGACTCATGTAGGCTCATGTAGGCTCATGTAGACTCGTGTAGACTCGTGTAGGCTCATGTAGACTCATGTAGATTCATGTAGACTCATGTAGACTCATGTAGGCTCGTGTAGGCTCGTGTAGACTCGTGTAGACTCATGTAGGCTCGTGTAGACTCATGTAGACTCATGTAGACTCATGTAGGCTCCTGTAGGCTCGTGTAGACTCATGAAGACTCATGTAGATCGTGTAGACTCATGTAGGCTCATGTAGGCTCATGTAGACTCATGTAGACTCATGTAGGCTCGTGTAGACTCATGAAGACTCATGTAGATTCGTGTAGACTCATGTAGGCTCATGTAGACTCGTGTAGACTCGTGTAGACTCGTGTAGACTCATGTAGACTCGTGTAGACTCATGAAGACTCATGTAGATTCGTGTAGACTCATGTAGGCTCATGTAGGCTCGTGTAGGCTCATGTAGACTCATGTAGATTCATGTAGACTCATGTAGGGTCATGTAGACTCATGTAGGCTCATGTAGACTCATGTAGACTCATGTATGCTCATGTAGACTCGTGTAGGCTCCTGTAGGCTCGTGTAGACTCGTGTAGGCTCATGTAGACTCATGTAGACTCATGAAGACTCATGAAGACTCGTGTAGACTCATGTAGGCTCATGTAGGCTCATGTAGACTCATGTAGACTCATGTAGACTCATGAAGACTCATGTAGACTCGTGTAGACTCATGTAGGCTCATATAGGCTCATGTACACTCATGTAGGTTCGTGTAGGCTCGTGTAGGCTCGTGTAGACTCGTGTAGGCTCGTGTAGGCTCATGTAGGCTCGTGTAGGCTCGTGTAGGCTCATGTAGGCTGTACTGCAGGCTCATGTAGACTCGTGTAGGCTCATGTAGACTTCTGTAGGCTCATGTAGACTTGTGTAGGCTGTACTGCGGGCTCATGTAGGCACATGTAGACTCATGTAGGCTCATGTAGGCTCGTGTAGACTCATGTAGACTCATGTAGGCTCGTGTAGACTCGTGTAGGCTCGTGTAGACTCATGTAGGCTCGTGTATGCTCGTGTAGGCTCTTGTAGGCTCGTGTAGACTCGTGTAGGCTCGTGTAGACTCATGTAGACTCGTATAGGCTCATGTAGACTCATGTAGACACGTGTAGACTCATGTAGGCTCGTGTAGGCTCGTGTAGACTCATGTAGACTCATGTAGACTCATGTAGACTCATGTAGACTCATGTAGGCTCATGTAGGCTCGTGTAGGCTCGTGTAGACTCATGTAGACTCATGTAGACTCATGTAGGCTCCTGTAGGCTCGTGTAGACTCATGTAGACTCATGTAGACTCGTGTAGGCTCGTGTAGACTCGTGTAGACTCTTGTAGGCTCGTGTAGACTCGTGTAGACTCGTGTAGGCTCCTGTAGGCTCGTGTAGACTCGTGTAGGCTCATGTAGACTCATGAAGACTCATGTAGATTCGTGTAGACTCATGTAGACTCGTGTAGACTCATGAAGACTCATGAAGATTCGTGTAGACTCATGTAGGCTCATGTAGACTCGTGTAGACTCATGTAGGCTCGTGTAGGCTCGTGTAGACTCATGTAGACTCGTGTAGACTCATGAAGACTCATGAAGATTCGTGTAGACTCATGTAGGCTCATGTAGGCTCGTGTAGACTCATGTAGGCTCGTGTAGGCTCGTGTAGACTCATGTAGGCTCATGTAGGCTCATGTAGATTCGTGTAGACTCGTGTAGACTCATGTAGGCTCATGTAGGCTCATGTAGACTCATGTAGACTCATGTAGACTCATGTAGGCTCCTGTAGGCTCGTGTAGACTCGTGTAGACTTGTGTAGACTCATGTAGACTCATGTAGACTCATGTAGGCTCCTGTAGGCTCCTGTAGGCTCGTGTAGACTCGTGTAGACTTGTGTAGACTCGTGTAGACTCATGTAGACTCATGTAGACTCATGTAGGCTCCTGTAGACTCGTGTAGATTCGTGTAGACTCATGTAGGCTCGTGTAGATTCGTGTAGACTCATGTAGGCTCATGTAGGCTCATGTAGGCTCATGTAGGCTCATGAAGACTCATGTAGATTCGTGTAGACTCATGTAGGCTCATGTAGGCTCGTGTAGGCTCATATAGGCTCATGTACACTCATGTAGGCTCGTGTAGGCTCATGTAGGCTCGTGTAGACTCGTGCAGACTCGTGTAGGCTCATGTAGGCTCGTGTAGGCTCATGTAGGCTCATGTAGGCTCATGTAGGCTCATGTAGGCTGTACTGCAGGCTCATGTAGACTCGTGTAGGCTCATGTAGGCTCATGTAGACTTGTGTAGGCTGTACTGCGGGCTCATGTAGGCACATGTAGACTCATGTAGGCTCGTGTAGGCTCGTGTAGACTCATGTAGGCTCGTGTAGACTCATGTAGGCTCGTGTAGGCTCGTGTAGGCTCGTGTAGGCTCGTGTAGGCTCGTGTAGGCTCGTGTAGGCTCGTGTAGACTCGTGTAGGCTCGTGTAGACTCATGTAGACTTGTGTAGGCTGTACTGCAGGCTCATGTAGACTCGTGTAGGCTCATGTAGGCTCATGTAGACTTGTGTAGGCTGTACTGCGGGCTCATGTAGGCTCGTGTAGACTCATGTAGACTCATGTAGACTCATGTAGACTCGTGTAGACTCGTGTAGGCTCGTGTAGGCTCGTGTAGGCTCCTGTAGGCTCGTGTAGGCTCGTGTAGACTCGTGTAGACTCGTGTAGGCTTGTGTAGGCTCGTGTAGGCTCGTGTAGACTCGTGTAGGCTCGTGTAGGCTCGTGTAGGCTCATGTAGACTCATGTAGGCTCGTGTAGACTCGTGTAGACTCGTGTAGGCTCGTGTAGGCTCTACTGTGCTTATGGGGCCTGCCACTCTCTGGGCCAGCGCTGTGTAAATGAATGATAAAGCCTCAGAGAGATATTGTTGAGATAAGAGAGTCCAGCACATGACAGGCGTCTTCAGTATTTCAAGGACAAGGCTCAACTGCAACAACATAACCCCCCTCGACCCACAGCCTGCCCTTCCATGTGGGCTTGGTTATTCTTAACCCGTTTGATAAAACCACGGGACAGCACTACACTATTCACTAATAAAACACAAACACAGACTTAAGGAACACATGGTTTATTAGGAGTGATTTACACTCTGTAACTAGTGGGCTAGCCTTTTAACCCAGTGCCCGGATTAAGTCTAATAAAGGTAGGCTATTGCCTGATTAGTTACTGCCTACCTTTGTGGTTTGCATGGGTGACCAGATTTGCAAAATAAAAAACTGGGACATCCCCGATTTGGGGTGGTTGGTAATAATAAAATTGTGAAACAGGTGCATAATTAAGGAAAATTATGCCTCTCTTTATTATTGGCAGTGTCAACTTGGTCAAAAGTAGGAACACCGGAGTCATTTGTTGTATAAAACTGGGACAAATCACTGGTTTTGGATAAATTCACTGGGACAAGGGACACAGGGCTCAAAACTGGGACTGTCCAGGGTAAACAGGGACACCCTAGGTTAAAAGTATGAGTTGCTGTATATATGCTGCTTTATTTCTTGGAATTCTGCCATTGTTTATTAGGATTAGACATTATAAGCACTTTTGAGTTCAGCCTAAATCCTTTCGGTTATGATCCATGGGGTTATAGCCTACATTTTGTTTTGTTTTGTAGTACTGCAAAATGACTGAATAAACTACTTCTACAACTAGAATTCGTCGAAAAGGCCAGTAGAGGCCTAGGCTACGTTCACTTGTTGGCTACAGAGCGTTTGGCACTTGCTGGATGATACCTAACTTATCAAAACGTATAAAAAATGCTCCAAAAAGTGACATTACCCGAGTAGCCGAAGGGCAGTAAACTGTACCAGCCTACCTGTCATTAGACTGTAGTAGTTCGGGTACGAAAGACTGGGGAAGTCCGGTGTCATGTAGTCCACGGTGACTCCGCGGTGCAGCAGCTCCCTGAAGCCCGGCAGCGTATCCAGTGCGTCCAAATAGTCGTAACGGAACCCATCAATGAGCAGCACGAGCAGCGGGCGAGATGCGGCGCACAGACCTCCACCGAACAGCGGCAGAAGCGAGAGCAGAGCGCAGGAACGGGCTGACAACATGGTGCGTCCGGACAGGGTGAGTCCAGGCGGGCTGCTCACTGGAACGGGTCCCTGGACGCACAATGAGCGCACTGGCCAATCAGCGTCCACTAAACTTTCCCCCGCTGTGCCCCGTGCCTCTGGGCTGGCAGGATCTCCTCCGCTGTACAGGACCGGTACCGGCAGGGCGTCCTCTTAAGTGTGAAGCCCGGGACTGCGACAGCACAGACACAGATCCACGTGGGACATGCAGCGTGCTTGGTCCTCTCCGTTTTCTTTCCAGACCCTAACCTGCTGTTGTGCCAAAATACGAAGGCAGTGACATCTAGTGCTCAGTTATGGAATAGCAGCATGCCAACTAGCGCCGCACCTGTTCTCCCTGAAATAAACCTGACCACGCTGCCAAGTATGTGACTATTGGTGCTTTGTTTAAAGTAGCATACATTGCATAAACATACATTGCTTAAAAAATGATCATATGAATTTATAATAAGCGTGTATCAACACACACACTCAAACTATTTCCTATCATAATAATTATTCAGTCTAGATCAATATTATAGCCTACATTTATCTGTAAACCCAGTGTGGTCGTGACAGATGGTTCTGCTCATGTACGTATGTTTACTTGTTCAGTGAAGCTGGAGAAGCAAGGTGTAGCCAAACATTATTTTATTATCTTAAAAAGTACACAGTTCCCATAGGGCATCACGTACACTACAACAGTAACACCAGTACTACACATCAAAGGGACTCTCGAATATTATAGACAGTTAAAAATCCCTCTTCTGATTTTTTAAAGTATTTGACTAGGCATGACATAAACATCATTTACAGTATGACAGAGCGTCGCCTTTAGAAACAATGCTATTGTCCAACCTCCCATGTTATACCACTGCCAATGTGCAGGGAAGACATCTGAGTGGTTGTGACAGGATGGCGGGGGCATTAGGACAGGTAGGGGAAAATGATTAATGCAGGGGTGGGGTTTAGGATGGACAGGGTCAATGGGACAGGGTTGATGGGACAGGGCATGTAAGGGGCAGGGTTTAGGACGGACAGGATCCAGGGACAGGGCATGTAAGGGGCAGGGTTTAGGACGGACAGGATCCAGGGGACAGGGCATGTAAGGGGCAGGGTTTAGGACGGACAGGATCGAGGGGGCAGGGCATGTATGGGGCAGGGTTTAGGACGGACAGGATCCAGGGGACAGGGCATGTACGGGGCAGGGTTTAGGACGGACAGGATCCAGGGGACAGGGCATGTACGGGGCAGGGTTTAGGACGGACAGGATCGAGGGGACAGGGCATGTAAGGGGCAGGGTTTAGGACGGACAAGATCGAGGGGACAGGGCATGTAAGGGGCAGGGTTTAGGACGGACAGGATCGAGGGGATAGAGCATGTACGGGGCAGGGTTTAGGACAGACAGGATCGAGGGGGCAGGGCATGTACGGGGCAGGGTTTAGGATGGGCAGCGGCAGTAGGACAGATAATTTAGGGGGGGTGGGGTTTATCACAGACAGTGTAGTGTTGGGGTGGGTTCAGGATACGATCCAAGATGAGTGACAGTCGCCGACATTTCCACAAAGCAGTACGCATCGGTTCGTAGTAGGCCTACTAATCGTTTAGGTTTTAAACTGTGTGTCAAATAAGTGACACACAATGCAATTCAGATTTTTTTCATTCTAGTCTCTTCTTAAGCCCTGCTCCGAAGTGAAGCGCAGCCCTCTGTGGAAAAGAGCTTGGAAATGCAGCAGGACTTGTGTAGTGGCACATCCTCTGTTAGTGGTTCCAATGTAAACTTAATGTAAACACTTCTAAAATAATACAACTTTACAAATATCTCTTTTAGTACCGGCAGCATTGGATAAGGCTCAACAGACTCCAATCCTTATGTAGAGGTAGTACTGAGACAGAATGGACTACATCCGGGTGTGAGCTTTATAGTACAACGAGCCAGAAGATATTCCAAAGCTTTACGTCTCGAGTACACACAGGAGACAGTGCAAGTGACAGCATGAGTATTCAGTACACGCCCTCCACATCAACGCCAGTCTCACTGTGAGCGAGGAGCTGGGACTTATTGCAAGGCTCAGGCCAATTCAATCAGGTGTACCAAAACAGTCCTTTTAGCAGTCTTCTCTGGGAGCTTCACATGTGGTACTTCTTGTACAGATGAATGAAATATGCAAGGTTGTCCAAGTGAGAAAAGATTGGAGACAATGAAGGCAAACTGCTGTGCGATTGAAGCAGGGTTAGGACGGGCTCCTCACTGGGGTCATGGACAGTAGAAATAAAGGTTTAGGCCCTATGTACTGGGACATTCACAGGCTGAGGCTGACCACAGCGTGCTTTTTGCATGTGTAGAGGTAGTTACAGTGTAGGGACGCATGGAGAACTCCTCACACATACACCGCCCAGTGCCTTCTGTCTCCCACATGTCAACTGCCACATTTCACATTTCACTTCCCAAATCTGAACAGGAAAGGCCAGTGCACTCACCCTGGGCAGGGCTTTTGGGCTGCTGTTCAATCACAGGATTATCATTTGGTTTGATCTAAACTGTTCTTTACTTGGTGTTACTGTGTCAAATTACAACTGCAGGTTAAGTACTGCTGTTCTCCAATTTGGGACATAGGTTATGCCCACAATTCCATGTTAATGTAGCTAACTGGTATTTGCCTGGAATCCAGAATCTAGCCTTTAATACAAAGACATGAGTCTGGTCACCGGTGAATCTCCCTTTTTTCAGATGGGCGTGATCAATAGATGCACATAGAGGGACACAGTCTGTCAAAACAAATATGAAAGCAAATATAGCTGCTTATGAGGGGTTTTTTTATACATCAGAGGGGACTGAAAAAAAATGTGAATTTCTGCAGAATCAACAAGTGAAGCAGTAAACTCTGTTAATCTGAGGTGAAGGAAATATCTTTATTTCTAAATGATAGGCAATCACTAAGCTCCTTCATTTCACTGAGAAAAACAAATCTTATTGGATAACTGTATTTGGTCAGGATCAAGACGCAGCGGAGGGCATCGAGACCAGACTGATATCCCTCTGTAATAAACAATACAGACAGATACTCTAGATTTGTTGGACAAGAGTGGTGCTGTTCTGATTGGATAACATTACTTGAGGATTGATGAAACAAAATATATTTACTCCCTAGCCTAGCCACTGCTCTGTATGCCACCTGTTTCTCAGTGTGGAGCCCTGACCACAGACTGGACAAATGCAGTGTGATGCCAGCTACACATCGAGCTCAACAGCCCAGAAAGAAAATGAAAGCCCTTTTTGCCCACTTACTACGTTTTAATGTGTATAAATAAAGTCCGATAATAGGAAGCTCAATGCATGGCCTTCAACATGACACAAACATCTGCTGATAACTGCTGTAGTGACACAGCAGTGGTTCGGTAGGTAGTCTAGTGAGTGAAGTGAACCCAGCCCAGAAGTGAAACAGCTGAAAGGGAAAGACAGTTGACCTGAGACTATAGCATGACCCTCACAGACTTGGAGAACACGACGCACTGTGCACAGAGGTGAGTGTGGCCTCAGCCCAGCGCGTGTGTGGGCCGCTGGGGTGAGGGGCCACGTGGCAGCTCTGTGGTGCTCTGGAGCTCCAACAGTCCTGGCTGCGATGGGCTCAGACGCTGGTGATGGAGGCCATGCAGGCACTGGGCTTCTGGAGCTTGTCAGCCTGGGTTCCTGCAGCCTCGGAGATGGCACGGAAGGAGAAGGGGGCCCCCGCTGTTGTGAGACCCAGGTGCCCCGGGCTCAGGGCCAGGTTGTGTCTGCGATTACTCTCTACGATGGAAGAAGTGTTCGACGCCAGGCTCTCCCGTGTTCTGTTAAAGAGGAGATGTCAATCATTGGAAGGTGTACATTCTGGGACATTTCACTGTTGCCGCTAACCGCCTGGCACATAGAGCAGTTTTTGAAAATTTAGTTCTTTGAGCTCAATTTTTAACATCATATGGGATTTTAATCTACTAAGAAGTTCAGGATGTGCAGTTCAAAAGACAGAAGTCAGAACCTTATTTAAAATTAGCTATTAGCTATTAGAGAATAGTTATTAATGAATAGCTATTAGCTATGGCCCTTTGAGATGCTTACAGACTTTTTTCTAATTGGTTTTTACACCAAATGTGGCAGGAGACCTTCCAGAGGAAATGCTTCTAGGGAATGGCCCATCTCAACACAAACCAGATCAACAGAGAAGAATAAAGCTGGAGTTAAACGAGCTCACTGTGATAGCTAGACTGCAGGATCGATCAATAGATCTATCTATCCCTCTATCTTGAATACAATATTCTGATATGACTCATTTACATCCAGCAAATCTAACACCAAGCCCAGAATCTCACCTGCTTGCTTAAATGACACTTCAATCAAAACAACCACAGAAATGTACCCATTCCAGGTGTGCTAGCCTTTTTTAAGTAAGCAGTCATGATTTCATCAGACTGTTGTTTGTATAAGAGTTCTAAAAAATATAATCTATAACAACAATATCTGATCATTCTACACATTTACTCTCCTGTACAACTGTACCTGTAAAATGTACTTAACACACAAACTTGTCTATCCTCACTCCAAACATCTGCTTCTTTGACTCTGCTCCTCTGACTCTGCTCCTCTGACTCTGCTCCTCTGACTCTGCTCCTCTGACTCTGCCCCTCGCACTCCTCTGACTCTGCTCCTCTGACTCTGCTCCTCTGACTCTGCTCCTCTGACTCTGCTCCTCTGACTCTGCTCCTGCTTGCCCGTCTGACTCGGCTCGCATCTGAGTTGGCCCCTAAGACTTGATCACAAACTTCTTCAAACCTTTGCACATGGCCTGTAGAAGAGAGGTGAGCATTCCAATGGCTTGATTACATTTCTATGTTCTAGTTCCCATTAACTGCTAACATATAACATATTTAGATCACCATGTTACCTTTTACTCTTTTGCAAATCCTATACTTGCCACTCCCCCTTCAGAGCATTATTCACATGACAATCTGCGTGCATCCCACTAATGAACCTAGTGCACATCACATTGGTTTGAGAAGTTGTAGTATGTTTTGTCGCAGGCTTTTGTAGATTTATGGAAAATTGGTGGGTGAGGTAGGCTAGTCGGCAGGGCACAGGGGAGATCCGCACTGCTAACAATAAGGAGGGTTCGAACAAAGCCTGGGACAGACCACTAGGTTACTCAAACATGCATGAATGACAAAAAACCTCTTCAGGCATGTTTTTGGATAAGGGAATGTTAGAACATGTTAGAAAGCTCCAAAAAATTTAATTTGCATAATACCACCTTTAAGTATTCAGCGCCTTGCTATAATATTTAATTTTTGAAAAAGTAACACTAGCATGTCCTATGATTTTGTTAAACTAGAAAAAGTTAACATGCACTGTAAAACTCAACACAATATCTAGCTCACCATATGATGATGATCAAAGGGAAGAGGGAAAATGTTAAAGTATAAATAATAATTTGTCTGAAAGCACACATTCTTACCGCGGAGAGTTGAATCCACTGTCCACAGTCACTGAGCTGGAGTCCATGCTGTCCAGTCTGGCGGAGTGCGCTGACTGCTGGTTAGGACTGGGTTCTTGGAGGTTATCTTTAGCACCAGGGAAGGTGAGAGTTCTTTCAAATCTCCTTTGAAGGTCTCGCTCCTTCTCTCGGTCCAGAAGCCACTGCATGGTCCCTGTTCCTCCCACCTTGCCCACACCTCCCTCCCCAGCCTTCTCTGCTGCTCCGCGACCTTTAGCTCCACTCTCATCCAGCTCATCATCATCTGACACATTATAGTAGTCAAAAGATGCCTCTGCTGCACTGGGTGTGCTGTCAGGCCCCTGTGGGGGGGCCGAGGTGGTAGCAACCAGGGGCTTCGGGGTGTCGTACGCCTCCTGTGAGTCCAAAGCATCACATGAAGATGACATAGTGGTGGAGGCCAGGGTTGCAGGTTTCCTCAAAGAGCTATACCCAGGCAGAGGCAGACTGGGAGGGGGTTTAAAAAGAGTGTCTTTACTAAAGATATCTTTACGTTTGTCTTGACCAGAAGAGGCACTGTGGGGGAGTCTCCCATTTGTAAGCGGGGACTCAGAAACTGACAGAGGTATAGGAGGCAAGCTGCCACCTTTAGGTCCAACCTTTGTCAAATCCTCTTTCATTTCTGATGGGTGTGGTGTCTGTCTTTCCACCTGTCTGTCAGTAGTGCCAATTTTCAAGCCGTCATGGCTGCTTTTGCCTAGAGTTCCCAGAGGGTTGAGTGATGTGACAGCGTCAGAGGAGCCAGAACACTGGAAGTAGTCATCGGGGGCTACTGAGGTAGCCAGAGTTTTGGGTGAGTAAGCCGGTAGACTGTCCCTGCTCTTACTCTTCTCCAAGCTTCGGGCTATATCCATCCCCAAACCATCAGCAGAGGGCTTAGCTGAAGGAGGTGTGGTCCGGGAGTAGTGTGAAGAGCCCTGATTGGCTCTTAGTGTCCCATCATCAGTGTAATAGCGACTCCTGTCATCAAAATAATTTGGAGGTCCCATCAGCCCAGCACCAAGGGGCCCTTTGGAGTTGTCCATGGAACGCGAGCGCTCCTTGGCCTTGTCACTGCGTTCATGCCTTGACTTCCTCTCCTGGGTGTGGGAGTGCGAGCGGTGGACTTTGGAGGGTTGTGCGGACGGGCCATGGCTAGGCTCAGGAAAAGGCATTTCTGTTCTTCTTTTGGCCAGCTCTCCAGACACATCCCATTCAGGTGTGACGGGCATATGAGAGGCCTCAAGGATATTGGGGTTACTGTGGGCTAGATGGAGCCGAGCCCGCTGGCGTTCCATGGCTAGGGCGTGCTCTCGTGGTGAACGAGCTAACGATGAAGAGTAAGCCCGGTAGTCCCTGTCAGCCAGCTCTAAGTGAGAGCCATCGCTGGGCTCACCTCGTGACCCCCTGGTCTTACTGTGGGACCGACTGGCTTTGGTTTGAGCTTGTTTTCGGTGCCGGCCGCCACTGCGGCGACTCCGTGAGCTGTGATTGGCCGAAGACACTTTACTCCTTTGAGCGCGCTCCTCTTCTAGCCTCTTCATGACAGCTGTGTGGCGAGCCAGGTTCTCCACAGTGAGGTCAGGGTTGATTCGACGGATGATTTCCATCTCTACGTGGCGGGGCAGCTGGCTGGGCACCTCCTCATCCCGCAGGGGCCATTCTTCTGGAGGGAACTGTGCTGAGAATGTAGCCAGCTGCTTTGTTTTATCCTTCTTAAAGCTCAGACGGAATAACTTCAATCCAAACTTTCGACTTCCCATGTTTCCCCCAGTCCCCGATTTATCAGTGTCCCCCAGCGTAGCGCTGCCCGTGCCCCCTCCGCTCGCAGCCCGGTGTTTAGTCAGCGTGTCGGTCTTGAAGGGGAAGCTCAGGGTGGCCCTGCTCTTATCGGGGGCACCTAGCTGCTGTGGAGGGGTCTGTGGGGAGTGAGGGGAGTGTGGAGAGGGGTAGTCGCGGTGCTCTTTTGGGGAGCGGCGCTGCAGAGTTGTGTGGTGACTGGGAGGGTCGTCTGCTCTATAGTTGTAGAAGGGGTCAGTGTGGTTTTGTCCAGATTTGGTGTGCGTGCGTTCTCTGACACCCCCTGCTGTTGAGGGGGTGATGGTGCCGGACAGTGGAGAGGTGCACTGGGTCTGCTGGTGCTGCTGCGCCTGGTGTCGCTCGGAGCGCTCGTCCAGGTGGTACCACTTGGAGCTGGTCCGGATCAGACTGGGAGTGATAAAGTAGGTCTGAGGCGTCACAATGAAATATCCATCCGGAGTCGGGTAGATCTTCCGGTCACGGACAAGCATGCTCAGCGTGTGATGCAGCACCTCCTCGGTGGGAGTGGGAACCCCTGGGAAAAGTGAAAGGGAAACAGAAGTGGTTTAGGCATAGTACAAACATTAAGTGATAGACCGTGCTCTAATCTAATACACGTTTCCACAAGACACGGTCAGATTTTTTTGGCCTCATAATGTTTCAAATTAAAATTTATTTGTTTGGAGGATAAGCCCCATGAGATGTCTCGCCATTGTGTTTTCGAGGGGGTTTAATTTATTTTATTATTATTTTTGCTCTCAATGCTTTTTGGAATTATAGCTTCTTAAGAGTGACAACAATAAAATAAATCAGCAAAGTTAACAATTTTTTGTCCAAAGCAAATGTATCTTATCCCCATTAGCAGCACATCGAAACAGCTTTAAAAAAAAAAATTTATAAAATGGCCACCATTTGTTTTATATTGTGTATAGAGTAACACAGGAAAAAAATATATATATATAGTATTTAGTTTTTTGGCCAAATCCAGAGGTGATAGGGAGTTTGCTGATTGTAGGTTTGATGTGAGGTGCTCCTCTTCAAGAGTGGCTCTTAAGTATTACTGCCAGTTACATCATTGATGCCTCTTAGTGTGAGCGAGTGATGCAAGCACATGCACACAGACTGGGGCTGAGGGCCGTGCACATGCACACAGACTGAGGCTGAGGGCCGTGCACATGCACACAGACTGAGGCTGAGGGCCGTGCACATGCACACAGACTGAGGCTGAGGGCCGTGCACATGCACACAGACTGAGGCTGAGGGCCGTGCACATGCACACAGACTGAGGGCCACGCACATGCACACAGACTGAGGGCCATGCACATGCACACAGACTCAGGGCCACACACATGCAGACACACTAAGGCTGAGGGTCACTTTTTACATTGTAGATACATGTGGAAGACGTCAAATATATGAAGAAAGAAGAATTGAGGTATTTGGCAAGAAAAAAGTGAAAAGCCTGTTATTTTAGATTCTGATTTTTCAAAGTAGCCACCGTCTACTTTGTCGACAGCGCTGCAAACCCTGGGCCTTCTCTTAATTATCTTTTTGATGAAGTCTCCTGAACTGGTTTTCACTTAGCAGCTGTTACACAACAGATTCAAAAAATGCCAAGAATTTGTGATCAAAAGCAAAGGGTGGCTATCTGGAGTTTATTTTAGTCATTCTACCTATGTTCATTCAGTTTTGATAAATAGTGATAAAAAGAAAGAAAATACTAAAATTTGTCCAAAAAGTATCTCCACACTTTTGACTAGTATATATTACTATTGTATGACTATTGTCTAGGCCTGTCACAATAACACATTTTGAAGTATGATATACTGCAATAAATGGTAATAGTGAAACTACTTTGGCTTTCACACAAAGCAGGATAATCCTAGTAAATACATTATTACATACATACATGCATATATATATATATATATATATATATATATATATATATATATATATATATATATATATATATATATATATATATATACACACACACACACATACATATATATACACATATATACACACACACACACACACACATATATATACACATATACACATATACATATTATATATATATATATATATATATATATATATATATATATATATATATATATATATATATATATATATGTATGGGCCGATATTTCACGTGGGCATGTCATACGTCGTTAAAAATCTTGGACTCTCTACATTCTGTTCATTTAATCCAATTTACAGACAGACAATTGTCCTAATATGTGGCTCCACATCAGTATTTATCTGCGGAGTCATTTGTGTGTGTGTGTGTCCATACTGTCCCTGAACACACCACAGAGTCGCGTCACTCACGTGTGTTTGTTTACACGCGCAGACATAGATCCAAACACTGAGATTATATTCTTTTTATGGACAATCGGTTTGAGTCTGGATTAAAAGAACATTTATTAGTGCAGACTTGTGATGTGAGGAGGAGCCTGTATGAGCGGTGAGTGTTGGAAATATGTTGACTCTGAAGCTAGTTTTGGTCATTTGTTATGGGTTAGCTGCTGTAGCTCCCGCACATAAACAGGCTGTTTTCTATTGACCTATTGTAAAGTGATTATATTGGCCGTATATTTGTTACTGGACCTGCATTGATATGTAAAGGAGCTGTGAATAGACGTGTGAATTATGACATTTGCGCATATAATTAATTAACGCGGTGCGCACGTATTTACAGCTAAAGGTTAATAGCGCTAGTTTCTTCACTAGTTATGTGTCGGTCGCGAACGAAACGGCTCTTAGAGCCGGCTCTTTGAAGCGAACGACGGGAGCCTGATCCTTATTAGAAGCCGTGTTTTCTCTTTCTCTCACTTTTTTTCTCTTCACGCCGCATGCAGATTCGTGGTAGTTTAACAACAGCATCGGCTGAAAACGAAACTTTGAGAAATTTGCGTGTACATAGGATCAAAACAAAACAAAACAAAAACAAACAAAAAAACAAGCATATTTGGCTGTAGTTTAGCATAAAATAAATAAACCAGGACTAATCTTGGGCACGAGAAAGAGACCGAGCCCTGACACTCAGTCCTGGTTCAGTTTTGGTTTAGTCCTGTTTTACACATGGTCTAGATCTGTTTTAGTCCTGGTTTAGTCCTTTTTCAGTCCTGGTTTAGACCTGGTTCAGTCCTGATTCAGTCCTGCTTTAGACGTGCTTTAGTCCTGCTTGCAACAAAACAATCTGAAGAGCCGCTTGGGAGCCAAAAGAACCAGCAGCTTTTAGTGAGCCGAGCCAAAAGAGCCGGTTCTCTAAAAAGAACAAGGAATACCCATCACTAGTGTCTACAATGTGATGCAAAAATGCCATTAAGCCAACCTACTGTCTGTAAATATGATGTAAAGAGGCAGAATAACAATAAATGTTGCCTAAATAAACCCAATTTAAAATCCACCAGAGCCAAACCTAAGTTTTTTTTAAACAATTCAACATTTACAGTGAATTTTTACATCACTAAATATATCAGCGATTATATCGGCTATCGGCAGCTCCAACTCCCATTATATTGGTTTCATATCGGCCACAGCAAAATCCATATCGGTCGGGCTCTAATACATATATATATATATATATATATATATATATATATATATATATAGCCTCAAAATCTATTGTCCAAACTTTCATATACTGAACAATAAGTGATATAGTCACTATTGTGACAGGCCTAATTGTATTGTTGTGTGACATTTTGATCATACATTCGTGCCTCATGGACTGTCTCCCACATGAAAAGCACTAGACTTGTTCTTTGTGTCAAATGAGTCTTTCATTGAGAGCTAGTACAGGAAATGCTTTGACCAAAGAGCTTATATGAACATTTTGCACAGTAATGATGTGGAGAAGTAGAAAAGCAATACAATTTTGCAATACATAAATCTGTCCACGAACAGTGCTGTGCACCCTGCAGTCGCAAGATACAATACAAGACATCACATTTCTTATTTAGAACTTGGAAGTGGTTTTCTACCTAATGTAAATAATAGGCCTAGAATTATGTTGTTATGTTGTTGTTGATATGAATAATTATTTTATTCCCTTAATTCTTAATTTTGCTTGTAAGATAAAAGATTGTGATGAAGGACTAATGACATATCAATAATCCAGAGCCTTTTGGTCATTAAAAGGAATGAATTTTAGGTAAAGGGTTACAAATAAGGTTATGGTTAAGGTTATCTAGCATTAACCTTGAATTTTACCTCAATGCAATCAATTATATCGTTGTAATGTGACGTTAAACTATGAGTGCGTACTTACGTTATACAAATGTGTGTGTACAAATATGTTGAATACATTCAGATAAACGCAGGGATACATTTCTTTTATAGGTGGAGCTGTCCATTTGATGCACTGACAGATCATCTGGGTAAGGCATCAAATGGACAGACCACTGGCAGTGTTCTACCTCTAGCAGAGATCTGTATGCTCCCTGTGCCCTGACTAAAGTCTCATCATGCTCTCATGTCATAAATCAACTGATGCATTTGTTCAGCGCTTCATTTGTTTCTATTTTACAACTGTTCCAAGAACAAAACATCAAAGTTTGACTTTTATGAATTGGAAAGTTTTACTATGGAATACACTGGATGGGAGAAAGCAGGGAATACCAGGTACCACAGTGGGGCATCAGTGTCACTATGTAAAACTAATGAAATATTATAATTTTTTTCCCATAGCCAAATAGGAGCCAATATGAGCTCAGCTGTATGGCCATGTTTGTAAAAAAGACAATCAGAACAAACATTGTGAAATTTTATATATCTGATAAAGGGTGGGGCCTTTGGAACAATTGTACAGAAAGCTTCAATGCACCATTCTTTTCCACTTTAAAAAGAAGTTTAAATGTTTAACTCTGGACAGATAGTGTACACGGCTCAGAAAATTAAGGGAATACTTTAAATACACATCAGATCTGTGAACAAAAAATATGTTGGACATCTAAACAAATATGGACAGGGCAATGTCTTACAACAAAAGGATGCCACCTGTTTTAATGGAAATAACATTTTCGGACTACAGAGGGCTTAATTTTATACACCCTGAAAATCAAAGTTAAATAATGATGTGGCAGGCTAGTCCATTTTGGCTAAATTTAATTTCAGCAACTAAAAATGCTTGTCAATATCTTGTGTGGCCCCCACACAGCACAGCATTACAGTTGTCTTTCCAGCCCAGCCTGCTGTTAACATGGACTCCCAGGTACTTGTAGCAGTTCAATATTTCAACGTCATGGCCCTGAATGGTTACAGGCTCCACTGGGATCCTCTTTATATGGAAGGTAATCACCAGTTCCTTGGTCTTGTCAGTGTTCAAGAGCAGAAGATTTCCCTTCATCCTCCAGGTTCTGTCTGCATACTCTTGCCACGAGGCCGGGCATTGCCGTGCATCTGGAGGAACCCTGGACCTGCTGCACCAGCGTAGGGTCTGACAATGGGTTCAAGGATTTGTGGGGCGGACTGGGACCAAAAAACAGCCAACCACAATCACTGACCCACCACCAAACCCTTCATGCTGAACCTTGTTGCAGGCAGCAGAGCATTCTCCTTGCCTTCTCCAGACTCTTTCACGTCTATCAGGGTGAACCTGCTCTCATCTGTGAAAAGCACAGGGCACCAGCCGTGGACTTGCAATGGAGCTCCACGGTGCTGGGCAGTAAGCACAGCGCCCACTACAAGGCCGACTTCAGGATGTGGCTCCCTTAAGCGCCACATTCTGAAGTCTGTTTGTGATTGTTTGGGCAGAGACATTCACACCAGTGTCCTGCTGGAGGTCATTCTGTAGGGTACGGGCAGTGCTCAACCTGTTCCTCCTGCACAAAAAAGCAGATATGGATCCTGCTGGTGGGTTGAGGACCTTCTATGGCCCTGTCCAGTTCTCCTATAGTAACTGCCTGTCTCCTGAAATCTCCTCCATATTCTGGAGATGTTCTTGCAATGGTACATCAGGATGTGCCATCCTGGAGAAGTTGGACAATATGTGGAACTTGTGTAGGGTTAAGGAATGGCCTCATATTCCCAGTGGTGATAATCAAGACAAAGCTGCACTAGTGGAAACTAGCCAAAAATCTTGAAATGACCTCCACGTGCAGAACTAGTCGTGTTTTAGGAGCTGTCTCATTGTTGCGACTTATTGTTCATTTCCATTAAAAGAGGTAGCATTGCCTTGCCCATATTTGTATAGATATCTGACAGATATTTTTCACATTGAGATATGTGTTTTCAAAGTGTTCCTTTAATAGTACTACTTTGCTGTTCTGTTACAGTCTTTTGCTATACTTATGAATATGAATTGGTTTCAAAATTATGCTATGACAGAGTAAGGGCTTGGTCTAACAATCTTAAATTTCAGCCTACATCTTTTCGGTGTTCCTACATGTTAAATATTATTGTCTCTGAAAACATGTCGGAATATACCTGTGACCAAAAGCAGTCAAGCAATCAACCATATCATGCGGCCCTGCTTTCTCACCAGGTAACAGTACAGTCATATTTGTTTTGATGAAGGTGGTCAAACTCCATGCAGATTGCTTCAGCAATAAAAGTTGCTAAAAAAAAATTTTTTCTCAAAAGCTTTCTTCTTGCATAAAAGGTGGGCCCTTTTCCAACGCACTACACACATTCAAACATCTTCTAGGTTGAATTTAATGATGAACTGCAGTACTCTTAACAGTGCAGTACCACCACCTACCAGGTCATTTTAGTCATTTGCTGTATACATACTTTGACAGTCTTAAAATGAACATTTCCATTAAAATCTCCTTAAACAGTCACCAGAAACACTCACTCTTCATAAGGAAAAAAGTGCCTCTGGTGTGGAAGCACAGCCTACAACTTTTGTCAATACTACTTTTATATTTAATCACTCATTTGTCTAATCAAATCTTATGTGGCATCCAGGTTAGCCTTATTTTATATGTGAGGAAAAGCCTATTCACTATACCAGTCTATTAGCATCTCCCTTGTGGTGAAGGGCCCTTATGAGCCCCTCTCCCTCTGTGTTTGAGCATTTCAGACAGGACTCAAAGTGTCAGTCCCTCCGTGGGAATGTGCAGAGGCAAGTGCTATGAGCTAGAGAAGGGAGTGCATGGGAAAGGCCCGAGGAGTGCCAGTGTACCTGGGAAGCATGTCTGGAGGTGTTCAGTCAGGGCTTCCTGAGTCACAGGTTTATGGGCGGAGTTCATAGCCGAGATGGCCAATAACAGTACTTCTCCCAAAGGGATGAACTGTGATTGGCTGATGGGGGACATACTGATTGGTGACACATCACCTGTTAAAGAAAGAAGAGACAAGAAAGAGGTTAAAAATGACAAACTAAATGGTTCCCTCAAACATTAGCACATATTTATAGGCAACTATCCATTGGTGCAATATTCATCATTACTTCTGATTTAAAGGGATAGTTCAGGTTTTTTGACATTAATCTGTATGGCATCACCATCAGCAGAGTGGTGCATCCACACTGACTTTACCTCCGAAAGCGTCCGGTGAGCCGAGATCCTGGCCGGTTTTGGTGCTGAGGAAAGTAGTCCTTGAGGTAAAGTCAGTGTGGATGCACCACACTGCTGACAGGGATGCCATATAGATTCATGTCAAAAAACCTGAACTATCCCTTTAATTAGAATTCTACTAAATGATAAATAAACACAATAACAAAGGCCAATGACAATTCAGCACCATGTAAAATTTAAAAATACAAAGAAACAGCAACATACAGTAAGAAGAACGACATGCCTTCTTTAGCCAGTTTTTGATACTCTAAATAGGCAATATTACAAACAAAAATGTTTCTAGAAAGCTCAGTAAGTTCAGAGAAGAATGGACATAAGCTACAAGGTAAGCATGTTCAAATGTACCTGTCTGGCCAGAAACAGAATAACTCTTGAACCCAGAGTCACCACCGCAGTGGTCCAGCCAGCCCAGGGATCCTTCTTTGAGTCATGAACCACAATAATAACAGACTGCACAAGACACAATGCACATGTGCATAGGCTCATGGAGTTAGCTCAAAGTATTTTCCACAATGATAAGTGTACAGAAAGATCTACAACTCTATAATGCCAAGTTTTAGCAGACCACTACTATATACTAGTCGACAGACATGCATCTCTTTAGCCCTGTGTCATGCGAGCCAGGCCACAGCACACACACACACGGGATAGTAGTGGCTCTCACACTGCAGTGGTAGTAAACAATCAGCCAGTCCCCTTTGTCCACACGCTAAACCACACCCCCTCCTTTTGTCATGCTCTCCCCCCTCTGCTCCTCCATGTCTGCTGCCACTGCTCAATAAGCGCTCTTTAATGTTTAAAGCACTGCCTCACCATATAAAGCACTGCCTCATGACATGCCTGCTCTGGATCTGCTCCCAGCACTCCAACACTGCACTACTTGGCAGTACGTTGTGTTTTTTGTGGTGACTAATAGTGAAACGTTGTGCTGCTATAGCTAACTAGCAACAGCTAACAAGCTAAGGGTCCCTTATAGTAGCAGAGATGCAGAAGAACAGCTGTGCTCTGTACCTTAGCGGACAGTTTCCTCTGTTCTAGACAAAAATGGGGTCCGGTTATGATCCGGTCGTAATCCTGTTGAGTACTGCTTTGGGTCCAGTTCTCTCGCTGTCCTTTCTCTCCTCAGCGTTCCTCCTCCCTCTCACACTCAGGCGTCGTCCTCCTCCGTTCTTACACACACACACAAATGAGGATCCAACCAAGGCCTTCCCACAATCCCTTGCAGCACACAAAGACAAGGGGGTGTGACCAATCACAGGCTTTGGACTTCCCGTCTCTTCTGTGTCTCCTCCCTCCTGGAGTAATGGCCACAGTTCCTTGTGGCAAACTGCCAAAGGGGTTGCCATGACGATGTGGTTCTCATGTATGATCCTGTATGTTTCCCTCTGTGCCGCTCACTGTTTCTCTGTTTCTCCATGTGCCTCTGTGTCCTCCTCTTCTCTCTCTCTCTCTCTCTCTCTCTCTCCCTCTCTCTTTCTCTCTCCCTCTCTCTTTCTCTCTCCCTCTCTCTCTCTCCCTCTCTCTTTCTCTCTCCCTCTCCCTGAGCCTGTTTCTCTGAGTCTGTCTCTCTCTCTGAGCCTGTCTCTCTGAGTCTGTCTCTCTGAGCCTGTCTCCCCCTCTGAGCTCGTCTCTCTGAGCCCGTCTCTGTGAGCCCGTCTCTGTGAGCCCGTCTCTCTGAGCCCGTCTCTCTGAGCCCGTCTCTCTGAGCTCGTCTCTCTGAGCCCGTCTCTCTGAGCCCGTCTCTGAGCTCTCTCTGAGCCCGTCTCTGTCTCTGTGAGCCCGTCTCTCTGAGCTCGTCTCTCTGAGCTCGTCTCTCTGAGCCCGTCTCTGTGAGCCCGTCTCTGTGAGCCGTCTCTCTGAGCCCGTCTCTCTGAGCTCGTCTCTCTGAGCCCGTCTCTCTGAGCCCGTCTCTGTGAGCCCGTCTCTCTGAGCTCGTCTCTCTGAGCTCGTCTCTCTGAGCCCGTCTCTGTGAGCCCGTCTCTGTGAGCTCTCGAGCGTCTCTCTGTCTCTCTGAGCCCGTCTCTCTGAGCCCGTCTCTGTGAGCCCGTCTCTCTGAGCTCGTCTCTCTGAGCTCGTCTCTCTGAGCCCGTCTCTCTGAGCCCGTCTCTCTGAGCCCGTCTCTCTGAGCTCGTCTCTGTGAGCCCGTCTGTGGTGTGTTGAGTTGGAGACAGGCTGTGTTAGTGAATGGCTGTGCCGCAGTACTACAGCTGGTTCTGCTGTGACCCACTTTAAAGTGCACAGAGAATGTAGGACACGCCGGTACACGGGCTCACATGCACAAGCACTACAGCATCTAGGTACTCCAACAAAGTACTGAAGTACAAACTACAAAGATACTTCAACAGACGTCCTAAAGTACAAATTACAGAAGTACGACAACAGAAGTACTGAAGTACAAACTACAGAGGTACTACAACAGAAGTACTGAAATAAAAACTACAGAGGTACTACAACAGAAGTACTGAAGTACAAACTACAGAGGTACTACAACAGAAGTACTGAAGTACAAACTACAAAGGTACTATAACAGACATACTAAAGTACAAATTACACAGGTACTCCAATGAAGTACTGAAATACAAACTATAGAGGTACTACAACAGAAGTACTGAAATACAAACTACAGAAGTACTACAACAGAAGTACTGAAGTACAAACTACAGAGGTACTACAGCAGAAGTAATGAAGCACAAACTACGGAAGTACCACAACAGAAGTACTGAAGTACAAACTACAGAAGTACAAGAACAGAAGTACTGAAGTACAAACTACAGAGGTACTACAACAGAAGTACTGAAGCACAAACTACAGAAGTACTACAATAGTACTTAAGTACAAACTACAAATGTACTACAACAGAAGTACTCAATTACAAACTACAGAGGTACTACAACAGAAGTACTGAAGTACAAACTACACAGGTAATATAAAAGACATACTAAAGTAAAAACTACAGAGGTACTCCAATGAAGTACTGAAATAAAAACTACAGAAGTACTACAACAGAAGTACTGAAGTACAAACTACAGAGGTACTACAGCAGAAGTAATGAAGCACAAACTACAGAAGTACTACAACAGAAGTACTGAAGTACAAACTACAGAGGTACTACAACAGAAGTACTGAAGTACAAACTACAGAAGTACCACAACAGAAATACTGAAGTACAAACTACAGAGGTACTACAACAGAAGTACTCAATTATAAACTACAGAGGTACTACAACAGAAGTACTGAAATAAAAACTACAGAGGTACTATAACAGAAGTACTGAAGCACAAACTACAGAAGTACTACAACAGAAGTACTGAAGTACAAACTACAGAGGTACTACAACAGAAGTACTGAAATTAAAAACTACAGAGGTACTACAACAGAAGTACAGAAGCACAAACTACAGAAGTACTACAATAATACTGAAGTACAAACTACACAGGTAATATAAAAGACATACTAAAGTAAAAACTACAGAGGTACTCCAATGAAGTACTGAAATAAAAACTACAGAAGTACTACAACAGAAGTACTGAAGTACAAACTACAGAGGTACTACAACAGAAGAACTGAAATTAAAAACTACAGAAGTACTACAACAGAAGTACTGAAGTACAAACTACAGAGGTACTACAACAGAAGTACTGAAGTACAAACTACAGAAGTACCACAACAGAAATACTGAAGTACAAACTACAGAGGTACTACAACAGAAGTACTCAATTACAAACTACAGAGGTACTACAACAGAAGTACTGAAATAAAAACTACAGAGGTACTATAACAGAAGTACTGAAGCACAAACTACAGAAGTACTACAACAGAAGTACTGAAGTACAAACTACAGAGGTACTATAACAGAAGTACTGAAGCACAAACTACAGAAGTACTACAACAGAAGTACTGAAGTACAAACTACAGAGGTACTACAACAGAAGTACTGAAATTAAAAACTACAGAGGTACTATAACAGACATACTAAAGTACAAACTACAGAGGTACTCCAATGAAGTACTGAAATAAAAACTACAGAAGTACTACAACAGAAGTAATGAAGCACAAACTACAGAGGTACTACAGCAGAAGTAATGAAGCACAAACTACAGAAGTACCACAACAGAAATACTGAAGTACAAACTACAGAGGTACTACAACAGAAGTACTCAATTACAAACTACAGAGGTACTACAACAGAAGTACTGAAGTACAAACTACAGAAGTACCACAACAGAAATACTGAAGTACAAACTACAGAGGTACTACAACAGAAGTACTCAATTACAAACTACAGAGGTACTACAACAGAAGTACTGAAGTACACACTACAGAGGTACTACAACAGAAATACTGAAGTATAAACTACACAGGTACTACAACAGAAGTACTGAAGTACAAATTACAGAGGTACTACAACAGAAATACTGAAGTACAAACTACAGGGGTACTACAACAGAAGTACTGAAGTACAAACTACAGACGTACCACAACAGAAGTACTGAAATAAAAACTACAGAAGTACTACAACAGAAGTACTGAAATACAAACTACAGAAGTACTACAACAGAAGTACTGAAGTACAAACTACAGAAGTACAAGAACAGAAGTACTGAAGTACAAACTACACAGGTACTATAACAGACATACTAAAGTACAAACTACAGAGGTACTCCAATGAAGTACTGAAATAAAAACTACAGAAGTACTACAACAGAAGTACTGAAGTACAAATTACAGAGGTACTACAACAGAAATACTGAAGTACAAA